TTGTGGGGAAAAAGAAAAACAAAATAATGTATACTTTGATTTTTCAGACACACTCCAATTTTAGAAAAGTTAAATGTGAAAAAGAAAACAAGCTCATGGATCTTAAAAGTATCTGTGATTTATTATCTCCACTAGCAGTGAGCAATATTCATGGTCTTCCAAAAATACAGAAATATAGTATTGGGCATTTAGTAATTGAAAATTATTCTATTTAAAACAGCAGCATAACAATGAGATTCTTAAACATTAACATAAAAGGTTTAAAACCTATACTGAAAACTTTAAAATCTTAATAAAGACAATGAAATATGATTTGAATAAATGAAATGACTACCACATTCTTAAGTGGAAACACTTAATAACCCAAGAATGTCAATTTTTCTGCAAATTAATGTATAAACCTAAATTGAATTCCAATGCAATTTATTTTATAATTACATGAAATGATCTATAAATTTATATGAAAGAATAAAGCTCAAAAATAGCCAAGGGGTATATTAAAGAGAAAAATAGGGAAGTAGGGCATTCCTTTACCAGATACTAAAAATTTTAAGACATCGTTATGACCAATAGGTGTGGTATTGCTTTAAGAAAAGACAAATAAATTAGTTGAAGGGAAAAGACAGTTTAGAAATAAATTTCCACATAAATGAGAATGTAATATATGACAGAGGTGGTATTTCAACTTGTTGGGAAAAGAAATTTTAAAAATAATTGATGTTGGCACAACTGGTTCTCCATCTAGAAGAAAATTAAATTGAACCTATAACTCATATCATATGTATATATATAATTACAGATAGATTAAATAAATATATATATTTATATATGTAAATAGATATAAATATAAATATATATATAATTAGAGATAGATTAAAACTTAAATGTACAAGGCAAAATGCTTAGAAGAATATTTAGAAGACCTAAGGGTTTTTAATCAAGATAGGAAACCCAGACTAGAAAACATAGACATACTTGATTCAAGAAAAATTACAGCTTTTTAATTGGTAAAGCATCCTGTGATTGAAAGAAATATAAAACAATTTGCAAAAAATATTTGTACTAAAGAGGATGGATGAAAGGTTAATATCTTTAATAATATTTATAATGCACGAAGCACTCTTACAAATAAGAAAATGGGCAATAAATATAGATAATTCAAAGAAGAACAAATCCAAATGGCTACCAATATGTTTTTTTATATATATAGAGAGAGCATTTAATATATATTGAGCATTTTTTAAATGCTCAAATTCATTAGTAATCAGAAACTTCAAAACGAAATAACAAGGAACCAATAATTGGTAAAATAAAAAGGAACATAGTACCTATTATGAACTGGCAGGAGCAGTAGGTAATGAGGTTATGGAAAATGGTACTCATGAATGGCTGGTAGAATTATGAATTGTTACAGCCTTTTGCAAAATAATGAGGCAATACTTAGTAAAGAGTACATATCTTTTTCTGACCTGGAGATTTCATTCATTAGAATCTAACACTTATAAATGAAAACGTAGGTAAGAATATGTGTACAAGTTATTGGCCTCCTTAAAAAGAATATATGTACAAAGTCATTGTCTGTGGGTACAGACACACAGGAGGAAGGCAGACATAAAAATCTTCTTGGCATAACCTCTCTGGCAAAGTGGCTTCCGGGTTTAGAGTAGCTCTCCTGAGAAGAGGTAGCTGTAAGCCATTAGCAGTCAATGCTCACAGGATTTGGGGATGGGTACACTAGGCCAACTCAAATGGGACCTGGGTGGGACATCAACTTCCTCCACTACACTCTCTACAGTCATAGTATGTGACCGTTAAAGAAAGGAATTAGCATTTTCAGTTGACTTAGAGACTTTTGTGAAAAAAGCAGGTCAAAGTTATATAAAATGATCTTTTTTTTTTTTAACAAAAGCGTGTACAAAATTTTTCTTCATATGTCTTTATATAAATTATCTGAGCATAGAGAAAATATGGTTCAACACCCAATAGGTCATTTTTTCTGTTTTTGTTTGTTTTTTAGACAGAGTCTCACTCTGTTGCCCAGGCTGGAGTGCAGTGGCACAATATCGGCTCACTGCAACCTCCACCTGTTGGGTTCAGGCTATCCTCATGTCTCAGTCTCCTGAGTAGTTGGGATTACAGGTGCACACCACCATGCCCATCTAAATTTTGTATTTTTCATAGAAACGGGTTTTCGCTATGTTGGCCAGACTGGTCTTGAACTCCTAATCTCAAGTGATCCACCTGCTTCAGCCTCCCAAAGTGCTGGGATTACAGGCATGAGCCACTGCGCCCAGCTGCAGTAGCTACTTTATATGTAATATAAACTATTACATATAGTGCAGGAGAGCAAGAATGAAGATGATGCAGGTAGAAAAGGGGAGTAGGGAAAAATGTCAGGTCTAGGGCAATTTAAGGAAAAAAAGAGAAAAAAGAGACAAAAGAGACTGCACCCTACAGAAAAAAGACAATTATAATCAAAGAATGACAATAAATGGAGAAATGATTTGATAAGCTTGGTGGTAAAATCTAGCATTGGTGCCTTCTGTCCACATTGGGCACACAGTTGGCCTTCCCTGTGGCAGGATCCACATCTGTGGATTCAACCAACTGAATGGGAAATATTTGAAGTAACAAAAATAAAAAATACAGTGTAACAATTATTTACATAGCATTTACATTGTCTTAGGTATTATAAGTAATCTAGAGATGATTTAAAGTATACAGGAGGATGTGTGTAGGTTACATTCAAATATTGTGCCATTTTACATAAGGAACTTGATATCCAAGGAGGTCCAGGAACTAATGTGCCAAGAATACCCAGGGATGACTGTATTTTACTTTCTGTGTAACTGTAGCCCAGGAGAAGAATTTATATCCTGGCAGTTTTTTTACCATCTGTGGTGAGTTGAATGATGTCCCCTCAAAAGATACATCCAAAGACCTAAGTCCTGCTACCTGTGAATGTGACCTTATTTGGAAACGGGGTCTTTGCAAATGCAATTAAGGATCTTGAGATGACATCATCCTGGATTTAGGGTGGTCCCTAAATCCAATCACTGGTGTCTTTGTAAGAGAAGGGAGAGGGATATTTGACACACAGAGAGGGAGGGGGAAGGCCATGTGAATACAAGGGCAGATTGTAGCGGTGACAGCTACTACAGGCTGGAGAAGGTAAGGAATGATTAACCCTAGAGCCTCCAGAGGGAGCATAGCCCTGCCAAGACTTTGATGACAAATTTCTAGCCTCTAAAACAGAGAGAATAAATTTCTGTTGTTTTAAGCCACTACTTTTATGGCAATTGTTACAGAAGCCCTAAAAAACCATCCCATTTCGTAGACGCCATAAGAGTTGAAGGTAGTAAAAACTTAAGAGCAATAGTTTGTTTATTGTTTGAATTCATCATACCACATAGGTGTTTTGCTGCTGCTTGTGAGTGACAAATCAACAGACGGGTACAAAACTGTACCATTAAGAAGGCATCATGTCTAGCTGGGGGATGGGTGGCTGAACATTCAGCCCATGAAGAGAGGCTATGCATTTGCACTAAAGATTATCCGAATATGTACACATCTTTAATGATGCCTATGAGAAAATAAATACAAAAATAAAAATGCACATGAGAAAGATAAACTTACTGATAGAAAATGTGGAAGGCATTTCAGAAGCATTTGACTAGTGTACTAGAAATGGAAGGCAATCTATTATACAATCGTCTTCCAGAAGTCACATCAATACATCCCAACCACAGTGTGAACGTGCTCCTTTTCCTAAACTTTTGCCAACAATAGTTATTATCTTTGCCAATTTAGTAACTGAAAATGGACTCTCCTTTTAAAATTAATATTTTAAAAAATCACTGGGGGTAGATAATATGTAGTCTTTCCATTTCCAGTACACTTGGACTCAGAAATCTGAATTATATTTATTTATCCTGAAGAAATAATCAGGGATATGGGAAAACAATATGTACAATATGTTCACTGCATCGTTGCTTATATTAACACAAAAATTTTGAAAACACCCCAAAGGTTTACTAGTACAATTTATTAACTAAATTATGGCATAATCTTTTTAATTAAAATGTCTTCAGGCATTAAAAATGATGTAATATACTCCATTTACCCCGATGTGATTATTACACATTGTATGCCTGCATCAAAATATCTTACATACTCCATAAATATATACACCTACTAGGTACCCATAAAAGTTAAAAGAAAAATGATGTAATAACAGAATGCTTAGAATTATATATGTGTATGATGTTCATGACAAATTCAGTAAAAGGAACAGATTATAAAACAGAACATACTGTATGATCATCTTTTTGGAAAAATTCTTGCAGAAAACAAACTGAAAAGATACATAGAAAATGTAAACAGTGATTATTATCTCTGGAGACAGTAGGAATACACTTGACTTTAGTGTGTGTGTGTGTGTGTGTGTGTGTGTGTGTGTGTCTGATTCATATTTTCCCAGTTTTCTATTATGACATGTTTAACTTATAAAATTAATAATTAAAAAAAAAAATCTCAGCCAGGCGTGGTGGCTCACACCTGTAATCCCAGAACTTTGGGAGGCCAAAGCAGGCATATCACCTGAGGTCAGGAGTTCGAGATCAGCCTGACCAACATGGAGAAACTCCGTCTCTACTAAAAATACAGAAGTAGCTGGGCATGGTGGCGCATGCCTGTAATCCCAGCTACTCAGGAGGCTGAGGCAGGAGAATGGCTTGAACCCAGGAGGCAGAGGTTGCAGTGAGCTGAGATCGCGCCATTGCACTCCAGCCTGGGCAACAAGAGCAAAACTTCGTCTCAAAAAAAAAAAAAAAAAATTCTCCCTGGCTAGATGATCAACTCCTTGAGTCTAGAGACTGTGAACAAATTTCTGTGTTGTTTTTTCTCTTCTCACCACCAAATACGCTTGACTATCCTATCTGGCAAACAGAAAGAGCTCGACTAATACTTCCTAAAATGAAACCACAATACTCGAAACAAAGTCAAGGTAGCTAAAAGAAGATGTTTATTGTAAGTATTTTCTCAGAGAATTTTTAATAGGAGATTGTCAAGCTGTTTTCTTTCCCTCTAAATTCACACTTTATTACAGGTAATATAGTATTCCATGACTTTTAGTGTGCCAAGTCTAATCGTCTCTCCAACAAAAGGCTTCATTTACATTTAGGAATAGTTTTCAGGGATTGCATTCTCTTTCATAAGTATTAAAGCAGCATATAAATCTACTTATAATCCAAATGTAGGCTAACATTGGGTTTAGGTGCATCTAAATTCAAATTCTGTAGATGATTGGCAAAAATTTCCATTATGGGATACCATAGTTACTAAATGGAAGCACTTAGCTACATGAAAAAAATTATAAAGATATCAGATATTCAAAATTGACTTTTGCTTCAGATTAAGAGATAGCTTTATTTAGACAGCTGAAATGGGGCCTTGTAGGAGATGTTTAGTCTCTTTGACTATTCCCCAAAGATTATCAGGAAGGAATAACCTAACTAATCGTATGTTTTGTCAAGGCCTGCATTGATTTTTGTATATAATTTAAAATAACCTGCATAATGTATGTGACTGTAAACAACATTATTTTATTTTAAAGTTATCCAAAGCACTGCTCAACAATATGAACAACAATACGAAAATACGGAGTACAATGGCTGATTTATGGGTACCTAAAATCCCTCGTCTACCATGTAAATGCCTAAGTAGCTTTGATAATACAAACTAAATGAGTTCAAGGATACCTATGATAAAAGATATTAATGTGATATAGTTTAAATATCTTGTGTAAAATACTTCACTTATATAAAGTGCTTCAGTCTAACAGTTGATTTACAATGTCTAACATGTAAAGACTCTCTAATATTGTACAAATAAATGGAGGAATTAAAGAGTAGGATAGCTATAAGACCAAATAAGTATTTGATTAAAGATTTCCTTTAATTTGCTTTAGCTCTCCACTTTCTTCCTTGCTGCTAAAATCCTAACGTCTTTTGATTAATGAGATGACAATCCTGTTGGACTCCTATGGTTCAATAATGTTTAATGCTACATGTCCTGAGAGTCCTACGAAAGTATTGAGCAACTGTCACTGACTTCATTCTCTTCAACATACTCTCCCTTTCCTTTTCCACAGCTATCAGGGTTTCCCATTCTCTCTCCTGAGGTACTTCATAATGCAATATTCAGACCTCAATCTTACTTCAAGTCACAAAACACTGCCTCAGGCTTACCTTAGTTGCTATTTTTACTTATCATTTATTTCTGCCAAAAGGAACTCCTCTGAAATTATTTTCATCAACAATTTTCATTTCACGTTTTATCATCTAAGTTTGAATGCTGATTTTCTTGAATTATAGAGGAAGGTTTTTTTTCTTTTTCTTTTTTTTTTTCTATTTTCGGTGTTTTCTGCTAAGGATTATTACAACTTTAGGAAACACAGAGGCGTTTATAAATATATTTTAACTAATTTGTGATGTATTCAAATAAGAGCATTAATGCTTCACCAAGGAATGTAATCAAATTTTATGGTAAAGCTAAAAATGATAGAATTTAAAAAATGGCTATCATGGAAAGTGGAACAGTTGGAGAGGTTCACTGTGTCACCCCTTCTTGGAGGAACTTGAAAAAAATGCAGGATAAGGCCAAGGAGAACCAGGACAATTCCCAATTCCTATGTGACACACCTTCTTCAGCGACCACTGTAAATACATGTGATGAAGAACCCTTCTTTTAGGTTGGGATGACAATAAAAATGTAAAGGCATGGCATCAAGAATGCTTTTTTCCATTTATGTGACCAAGTTTTCAGTAAGTAATTTATTACAAATAAGCTTTCCTCCTGCCTTTATTAGATAGCTATTGCTGTATAAGAAAGTACACCCCAAATTTGACTTAAAACAACATTTATTATCTCACAGATTTTGTGGGTCAGGAACCAAACTGGGAGTAGCTTAGCTGGCTTTTTTTGCTTCAGGGTCTCTCGTGTGGCAGGGCTATACTCATCTCAAGGTTCCATTGGGGAGTACCTGCTTCCAAATTCACTCTTGTGGTTTTTGGCACGATTCAGTTCCTTTTGAGGAGTTGGCTAGAAGCCTCCCTCAACCCTTGCTATGTGGGTCTCTCCAAGGGACAGTTCTCAACATGACAGCTGGCTTTCATTGAGAGAGAAGGCATCAAGAGATACACTCATCTTTTTACCACCAAATATCAGAAGTGACATCCTGTCCCTTCTGCTGTATTCTATTCATTAGAAGTTAGTCACTAGGTCCCACCTATACCCAGAGAGTGAACTGACAGGAAATGAGATTATTGGGAACCATCTTAGAGGCTGCCTACCACATATAAAATACATCCCCCCTACTCCTCAGATCCTCAAAAGTTTCACTTTTGCATTACATCAGCTCAAAGTTCAGAATCTCATAATTGGAATCAAGTCAGGGTGATCTCATAATTGGAATCACCCCAGGTTTCCTCAGGGCGTAGTTCTTTAAGTACAGTTCCTGGAATACAGTTGCTTTCCATCTGTAGACCCATGAAACTAGAGAAAATTGATCTACCTTCTACTCACAGCATAAAATTATGCATAAGGCATAACCATGACCATCACTGTAACATTCTGTCCACAAAGCTGGGAAATGAGAGACATAAAGGAGTCACGAAGTCTAGCCTACACTCAAGGGGAGGAAATTATGCAAGGTCTGAAACCAGGAGGTGAGGATCACTGGGGGTCACCTTAGAGGCTGCCTATCACACTGCCCTTCTATTTGATTCTAATAATAAAAGAAGTAAAACTTTTGATAAATATTTTATGAGACTTCAGGTGGGGCTGATATTTAATATATATGGATGGCATTGCTGTTTGTATTGCTAGCTTTTTCCCTTGGCTCAGAGGAAACAATCTTTTTGATTACAAGAATATTGGAGGAAATGGTTGAACAATTCTATTTCTCTTTATCATGGCTATAGATCTGATCATTGACTATTAGGTTGGTTCGTTTCCCAAAAATTTCCAAAATGTTTTCCTAAAGTTTCATATAACATTTGTTATAGCTCCATGCTTATTCATGTGGCTGCCTTCTATATTTCTGCTTCAATTTATCAATACATTTTATATTTGCATAAAATTCAAGTTCCATCCCTTGGGGAAACATAGTGTCTCTATTTTGAACATGGGAGCTTTTGTAGTTTCTTTTTCATACTATTGACTAGAGAAATAACGTCCCCTTCCTTCATGCTGCTTTCTGAAGTCCTAGTAGAATACTCCTCATTTTCCTTCCTTTTTCTATCAGTCTATAGTTCTCAACCAACAATTTTGCTCTCCCGGGAACCTTTGGCAACGTCTGGAGACGTTTTTGGTTGTCACAACAGGAGTGTGCTACTGGCATCTAGTGTGTAGAAGCCAGGGATGCTGCTAAATAAGCTGTAATGCACAGGGCAGCCTCCGCAAAACAAAGAATTACGGGGTCCAGAACATCAATAATGCCAAGGTTGAGAAACCCCAGTGTAAAACCAACCAGTTCTTCCTCCCACTTTAAAAATGAAGACATTACAACGTTGCTTTAGCCTTGGTTACTATATAAATCTTTTTTTTCCCCCAAAAGCAAACATTTCCCCCAAATAACAAAAATGTGGAGTTGAGATATAAACTACAAATTGCAGCAAACCAGGTTCTACTCAATTATCTAACCACTGAAGAATATAGCCTGAGATAAAGGGCACAGAGAAAAGTGAAATTTTACTCAATGTGCAGTTTGAATACTTCTTTTGATTGAGCAATATATGCTGAAAGTTTTGTGACACTGTGAGATCTAGTTTACTTTAAGCATATTTAATTACTACTAACTAGAAAATATTGAAAACATGCATATCCAAACTAGAGCATGGATTAGGAGTCTTTTTATTTGTTTGCTCTCAAAATGATGCCAAAATAACAACAAAAATTTAGAACAATGTACAGCAGTCACTATAGAATCCCTAAGATAACTATAATATTTTAAAAAAATAATGCTTCATATTTTTATTATTTCATGGCATTTCTATTCACGAATCACCTTTTTTCCTAAATAAGTGTATCTATAATTTTATGAGTCATTTGTCCAAATATGTAGAACAGGTCTTTGGGAGAGAACAAATACACTCACAATTTTTCTTAATTGCCACCAGACTAGTTAATTTGTTTCTTTCATAATACAAACATGCTATTCTCTTAGTTTTTATCTTCAATAACATATGAGAGATCCAAAATCAAATTGGCTGTCTCTACAGCCACCTGTAGGCCACTAAGCTTTGCAGTCAAACAGTCCAAGGTCAGGTTGCTGGCTGAGCCCACAGCTTCAAGTGGAAGGCAGGTTTGTGGCACAAAAGGATGACGTGTGCTTCTTAAGAAACACCAGCTGAGTTCTTCCTGGCTATTGTATAATCCACAGCCACAATGTGAAAGCAAATCTGGCCAGTTAGCAACACAGGGAGAATCTGCCTGAACTGACCAAAAGTGTCCATACTTCATGTCAGTGAGAATTTCACCTCCATCATGTTCTAAAGAGCCAACAACAGATTCTAGGGCACTGCAAAATGCTTCAGCAATTAGTTGAAGTTCTGTTTGAGTACATTCATCATCTTTGAGAATGCTTTTGGGGTCGTTGTGAGTCTAAAGAGTAATAAAAACGTTGAGAACACATACAAAGCAATTAATATAAACTGTTTAAGAAAAATAAGATACTGAATCAAAATCTTATTCCTAAAGTTACCACTTACTTTCATTTAATTTGGGGTTTGGTACAATGCTAATGGGCTTGTATGGGTCAGTCGGCCAGGCTGCAAACTCTTAACTAGGTTGGTTATAGTAAAAATGTATATACTACCAGTCATGTTACCAGAATGGGTGACTCAGGATGAGCCCATCATCAGCTTATTCTGAATGAGGCGTGGTAGTGCCTCTTTAATACATGAAGAACAAGGCATAATGCATGTATTACAGGTTTCTCTGCACACAGGAGGAAGTTCCTGAAGACTGATGTCTCAAATGATGTACTTATTTATCTCTGCAAAATGTTTGAGATTTGTTTAAAATGAGAAGGCACATATTTTTATTTGGAAATCATGATGTAAATTTTCACATCAATGTTTTAAAAAGGAATATTCTTCTCTTTAAATTAATGAAAAGGTAGTAAGACCTTAAACTGTCTTCTGGTTTCACTATTTAAACAAGTTTATCCTAGAAATTCCAAGATAAAAAGAAAAATTAATATTTAGCCATGTACCACATACCAACGCTTCAGTCAATGACAGACTGCATATACAACAGTGGTCCCATAAGATTAGAAGGCCATATTTTTACTAACCTTTTCTATGTTTTGATATGTTTAGATACACAAATACCATTGTGCTACAATTACCTACAGTATTCAGTACAGTAACCTGCCGTAAGGGTTTGTAGCCTAGGAGCAATAGGCTAAACCACATAGCTTAGGGGTGTAGTAGGCTCTACCATGTAGGTTTCCGTAAGTACACTCTATACTGTTTGCACAACAATATTGCCTAATGATGCATTTCTCAGAATATATCCTTGTTGTTAAGCAACATGTCTCTATTAGTAAACTAACAACTGAATGATGGTTTAAAAAATCCATATCTTAACTGCTTAAAAACAGTGACTACTTTCCGACTCAAGATACCTTCTTCCTGCAAAAAACTTTCTCTAGTTTACTCAATTCCATTTCAGAACACATTATTGTCCATTCAGCACCAATAGATTGGCATGAATTTTGTTTTCCATAATGTATATTCTGATAACTTTTCATGAAAGTGCTTCTAAGTTACTTGGGGAGGGACAGGGCATGTTTACCCAATGAATCGACTGCTAATATCTGGAAAACACCTATACCTTTTTGTATCCATTTTCAAATAAAGTAGGCCAGTACTTATGACATAATCAGAACTACAATGCACTAAACTTATCTGAGAGCTGTCAGGAAATGGAGTTTCCCAGACTAATCAAAAAATTCTATTTAGTAGAATTAATAAATAACATACATAAATACCAATCTTAAAATTAGAATCTAATATGTGAACTGCTTAAATAAATGAAACTAACTGTTTTCTTGATGCTCTAGAAGATACTTAAGTATTCTGTAGAAACTTGGCTCTTTTGTTTGTGAACATGAATTATTACTGTATTGCAGCAGTTGAGATCTCTAAGAGAACTCCCAATAACAGGATGCTAGCTTCAACATGCAGTACATGTAGACAATACTCAAAGAACGTGATCATTTGCTAAAATATTATTTTTATAATAAACCATTGTAATAAAGATATTACCTTATATTTACCTTGTTATTTCCCTCAAGTGTTTTGGATTATGCATTTTATTTAGACTACTGAAAAATTCAGTGTTAAAGGCTACAATTTTACCTATATAACAAACCTATACATGCACCCCTTAACCTAAAATAAAAGTTAAAACTAACAAACAAAAAGGCTACAGGATATTATGATTTTGGCTTATTATCTCATAAAACAAAAGTTGCTGAGAATTCAGGTAATCCGAAGAGGATTATCTTCTGTACCTTGTGTCTGATATATGCAGCCAGATGAGTTTCAGTACAACCACCTCCCAACAAAGCCCATGATTCCTTGAGTGTTAACTGCAGGACATGAAGTGCCGTCTGACACGTGAGCTAAGAAAAACCCCAAATCATCAGAATCAGACATTCACATCATATACACACACAAAAAGTCATGCTCTCAAAGCATCACAGTGAATACAGAGAGTGTGATTTTAATTGCAAAAGAACAAAACTTGTGCTGTGCCAAGGTTGTCATGTGATTGAAACATTCTGAATAATAAGGTTTAGAGATTAAAGGAAGATACTTTAGTCAGAAGTTTGCTTCATGGAGCCAGATTAGTATTTTCTTTCGTATACACTTAGCTCTTCAAATTGAGACTGACAAATATATGGCCTCAAAATATCTGGGTCAACAAGGTTTGCTGGCACATCCACTAAAAAAAATTATTTCAGTCTAAATAATAAATTTATTTTGAATTGTTTTGGAAATAATACAGTTACATCCCAGCAATAATAAATAAAAAAAAAAACCACACAGACCTTTAACATTTACTAAGGATATATCCTTGAGCATACATGAATCTTTAAAACTTGTGACCAATCCCACAGATGATCATTTCCCTTGTATAAAAGTTGAATGTATTATTGTGGCAGAGAACAGGAAACTCTGCTAAGAAGTGGATGATGGGTATTGACTGCTGAACTCATTTTCCAAGTGAATTATTCATACATATTAGCATCAAAGACTACACAATTCAAGTTAATTTCTTAGAAAAGTTCACATGTCAACGGCCTTTTAGGTTTCTCGTCAATAGTAGAAATAATAAATGGCAACACATGCCAAAATTATTATAATGCCACAGGCATTTAAATTAGCTTCCTTGTGACTCTGCATCAATCATTTTAATTTTTGCTTTCTATACTACCTAGGGAAGCTACGAAAAAACAAATTCATAATAACTGTTGAGTGACTAATTCCTCCCTCAGCCCCTGCATATAGAATTCAAAATTCATTACCTACCTTCAGCTCATCCCAGGCAGTGTCATTTCTGTTGCAGAGAAGCAAGCTGCAGATTGTTGCTTCATTAGGGATAAGATGAAAAAAATGTTTGGAGCCAAATTTTGCAGTGCACACATCTTTCACACTTCCATAACTATTAGGAGATATTGAGCCTAGGGATCCAATAGGCTGTGTTCCTATTTTTTAAAGATTAGAAAATACAAGATGTATAAGCAAAAGTGGAGCAAACAACCATTTAAAAGTATATTTATTCCTAGCCAACATAAAAGCCCCATAAGCATATAATTTAAAATATGAAATATAGGATAAATAAGATGAATCTCCCTAAATTGCTAAGTTATATTCTGCTACTAAAATGATATACAAATAAAGTAAAGCAGAAGTTATTTTGGTTTACAGAGCTCTTTGAAAATCTGTTAGAAGTCATTTTGTACTCTCTTCCCAGAAAAGGGGGCATACAATTTTGCATACATTTTCAGGGAGTTCAGAAACCCTCAAAGCCCTCAGGGATTAGAGACCCCAAATTAAGAACTTCACTAATTTGGATTAAGGGTGATGTGAGGTGAGAGGCTATTTTTTAAAGGAATTATTATTTTCAATTTAAAATAAATGCAGCTATTCAAATGCTTGTGTAGTTGAATTCCTTCGGGGCTCTACATAGTGAATATGTAAGAACTAGTTTTTTGTCTAGCAACAATTTATAAAATAGCTAACTGAATTATGCCAAAATAAAGTGACATGCTTATTTCACTGTTATTATTTGATATATTAAGTATTTTGTCCTCCTACCCGCACATGTAAAATAGTAAAGTTTTATAAGCCACAAGTAAAAATACGAATAAAGAAGTTAGGGTGACTTGAATTTTCCAAATGTCCAAATGTAATGGAAGTTAAATTTAAGAAAAGAAACCTACACCAAACTCCTACAAGACACAATACTAATTTAAAGTCTAAAGCTATAATTCTGAGCCATTCACCGCTTTGAGCTAGTTTCCTTTTCTTTCAGACTCACCTATAAAAGATGGTTTCTTTCAGACTAATGGGGTTTAGTTTGAAAGTCTAAAATCTTGGCCGGGTGTAATTACATGCCTGTAATCCCAGCACTTTAGGAGGCTGAGGCGGGCATCGCCTGAGGTCAGGAGTTCGAGACCAGCCTGGACAACATGGTGAAACCTGGCTAAAAATACAAAAAGTAGCCAGGCGTGGTGGCAGGTGCTTGTAATCCCAGCTGCTCGGGAGGTTGAGGCAGGAGAATCGCTTGAACTCCGGGGATGGAGGTTGCAGTGAGCAGTGAGCCGAGATCGTGCCACTGCACTCCAGCCTGGGCAAAGGAGCGAGACTCCATCTAAAAAAAAAAAACAAGTCTAAAATGCTATAAACACTTCCAGCTCAAAAAATTTATAGAATACAATCACTAAACAATTTCACTTATTTGAATATTTTTTACTTCTGAAGTCTTCAAAATAACGAATACTTTAAAAAAGTGATCTAAGTAAAAAAAGCCAAAATCTTAAATAGTGTAATTTCTTTCACATGGTGGGAACAACAGATTCTAGTGAGAAGACGGGCTCTACTGCTTGAGTCACTGGATGCTATCACTCATGTCATTTAACTTTCTGCCTCTGTCACATGAGAAGCAAGTGGGGATAATACTGTATACTTCACAAATAAATCAAATGTTAAAAATGCTCCAGGCCGGGCACGGTGGCTCATGCCTATAATCCCAGTACTTTTGGAGGCCGAGGTGGGTAGATCACCTGAGGTCAGGAGTTCAGGACCAGTCTGACCAATATGGTGAAACCCTGTCTCTACTAAAAATAGGAAAAATTAGCCGGGCGTGGTGGTGTGCACCTGTAGTCCCAGCTACTAGGGAGGCTGAGACAGAATTGCTTGAACCCGGGAGGTGGAGGTTGCAGTGAGCTAAGATTGCGCCACCCCATTCCAGCCTGGGCGACAGAGTGAGGCTCCATCTTAAACAAACAAACAAACAAAAAAACAACAAAAAAACCAAAAAAACCTCTGTAAGCTGCAATACGTTTCACATGTGGCACCCATCCACAGTATCACCCATTACGCAACCTATGTCATTAATAAATAGGAATTTTGTTTGAAGGCCTGAAATGAGGTAATGTTAACTTAGATACACCAGGGGAGATAGGTAAGGCCAAAAACATACTTCATCTACCTAAAAGTTTACTTGTGCCACGTACCTGGTACAGTTTTCCGCCTCTTCTTTTTCTCAAAAGGTCTTTGCTCCCAAGACCCAGGACTAAAACTATGGCTGTTAATGACATGTTTAGGTATATATTGTGGGCTAGTGCGGAAACCCAGCCCCCAGTTACAATATGGTTTCTATGGGAAAATGTTTTTTTTTTTTTTTTTTTGATAGGGAGTCTTGCTCTGTCACCAGGCTGGAGGGCAGTGCTGCAATCTTGGCTCAGTACAACCTCTACCTCCCAGGTTCAAGCAATTCTCCTGCCTCAGCCTCCCAAGTAGCTGGGATTACAAGTGCGGCCACCACGCCCAGCTAATTTTTTTGTATTTTTAGTAGAGACGGGGTTTCACGATGTTGGCCAGGATGGTCTCGATCTCCTGACCTTGTGATCTACCCGCCTTGGCCTCTCAAAGTGCTGGGATCACAGGTGTGAGCAACCGCCCAACCCTTTTTTTTTTTTTTAAGATGTGGTCCTGCTTTGTTGCCCAGGCTGGACTTGAACTCCTCGGCTCAAGCAATCCTCCTGCCTCAACTTCCCAAGTAGCTGGGACTACAGGCATGTACCACACCTGGCTAAAGTGTCCCATATTTTAAAAATCAATCTGGAAGACCCAGTATTTACAAGCTGGAAATTGCCAGATTCATGCAAAGCTAGTAGATATTTAAGGATATCAGTCTGACTTACCATACCAACAATGAGTTCTAAGGAATTATTTCCATTATTAAGAAACTTCTACTTTGACAGTCATTTGAGTCTTACAAAGGTAGGACAGTAACCCAGAGATACTATGTATTCAACACTGGGCATACATAAGGCTCCTTTTTGATAATTTATACTAAGACTTTTATTAATGAACTTTAACAATGGTTTAAGTCTAATAACTTAAAAATTGGAAACAATGCAGACTAAATGATCATCTTTCTGAGAGACTGTCAAAGCAATTAAAGGAACACTGAAAAGTAGCTCAAATTAGGAACTCTTCAGCTTGTCATTTTTCTTTGGCTCTAACAGGTCTTAGATTTGCTTTTAATTTGCTGCGTTTGTAAAATACAGTGAATTTTTTTGCCTATTGTAGTTCTGTATATTAACAACTATATTTCAGTCAATTCAACAAACACTTTAGAACACCTACTGTGGGTCAGGCCTGTAATAGGTGTTGAAAGTAAAAGATGATCTTGGTTCTCAAGGTCAGCTGGAAACAGTTTTGATATAGGTAAAACAGTGGTGCGTGTACATCCCCCTCCCATTAGAAACAAGTACTTAAGTAGAAGTACAGAAGTTTGTTGCAATTATGATAAAGTGAAGAAAAAGGGGCATTCTAGTTACAAAATCATTTTCTAAATATAACATGATTTAAGAGTTTTGTGAATTGAGGCTGAAGAATTTTGTGCAAAGTATGAAAGACCTCAGGATTATGAGGATGTTAGACTTTTCAATAACCTGTAAAATATTGGGGGGTCAGATTATGATATGAAAATGGCTATAATCAATTGCATTTTTAGTATGTGAACAATACAGGATCTTTTTCAGAAACCTTTGATGCCAGAAATGATACTGACACATGCTGTGTCAATTTTTCAAGATGTTAACAGTGACACAAACCAAAAATATCTCTGCTCAAAGAAGTGTGATTTATTAACTGTAAGGGACAAAACCAAGAGTGAGTTTTACCTGTCATTTTAGTCAGGGGTTCCATCAGAGTCACTCCAATTCTGTCTATGGCAATAACACGATGCATATTGAGAAACTGCTTCAAAGATGGATGTATAACTTTTTGGCACAGGACAAGATCTACATGGTCACTGACTAGCTGCCTTCCGAGGTTAAGCAGCTGGTCCAGGACTGCATTTTCAAGAGAAACCCCATAACTGACCACCACAGTTCCTTCTCCAGTGTCAGAAATGTCTCCGGATAAAGTTGTACAAAAGAGTGCCACCTTGAGGGCAGTTGATTTTTTGATAGGTAATAGCCTCATTAATTGAACTTCTGACATTTCAATGAGTATCCCAGGTAATACAGTGGAATCTATAACTCTTTGATCTTTTAAAGGTACAATTAAACTCTTTCCTAAAATGATGTGGCCTTCAGCATTTTCTGGAATTGTTAGCAAAAAGGCTCTCAGAATCAAAGCACTGACATGCTCTGTTTCCTTTCTGGTGAGCATACAGGCAGGTTTACTTGTTAATATACTGCGAACCAAACAAAGGAGGATCTGAGTACTACTAAAGTCGACTGGGATTCGACAACCACAGGTCTCGGACTTGAGATAACTGATGCAAAGACTCAAAAGATGTTTATTCAATCTAATGACAGTGGTGGGTGCCAAGCCTAATCTCTGAACATTTTCAATCAGGTTGCAGCAAAGAATGGCAGTGAATAAGCCACAGTCACTGAAGCCTGACACATGATTCTGCACGGAGGTTGTCAGGATCTTTAAAATGGGATGTGTGACCAAAAGGTGACTGAGCAGGGCTGAGGACTGTGAGGTTGTGCACACGTAACCTCCAAAGCCATTGTGCAGCTGCTTCAGCCTACCTGAAGGGCCATAGCATGATGTTACGATCCTTTTCAAGACAGAAAGTGTGGTCCTGACTCTCTCAGATGTCAGTGCTTCACTCTTACACAATGATGGCTTCTTAGCTTCCAAACGAGACATCTTACTTCAGGTGGTAACTAGTGAAGACCGTTTTTATTTTGTAAACCACATTTTTCTATTTATTCCATTATCACGTTTTAACATTAAAAATTATTCTTTAGGAATTAAAGTATGAATATGCAGCATTGTGGCTATAAAATCAAAGAGTTCAATGTTTATGAAGCTAATCAGCATATAATGGTTTCACGACAAATTAGTAATTCCAAATATTTATTTTACTTCACTCTTCAATACTCTTTTGTTTGCTTTGAGACTGAGATTTTACAGACTGCTTTGCAGACCTCTGTAGAAAGTATGTTCCAACATGGACACCTATGAAAGACATCCCAGCTACAAGAAGCCAGTTCTTTCTAATCCAACTGGTATTTTTCATCTCTTCTTTCCACATGAAGCTCAGATTCAAAGCTGCTTCTTTATCTAAGAAATAAAAATAAAACATTTTAGAGAAATACTTCCCAAGCATTTTGTAGACTGCAGTTTAATAATTTATTCTAATGCTCTGCTGGCTTTTTAGAAAAAGGAACTACTAACTGGCATAAACCTCCTGAAAATGAGAAAAGTAAACCAACTTTGTCTTAAAATTCCTTTATTCTTCAATAAGTCCCCTCTACAAGAAAAAGTGCTTGTACTTCAGTGATTCTGTAAGGCACAACAACATGGCTAGAAAGCTTACAGCAGTTATTTGAATATGGCATGCTTCTAGGAGAGAAATGCTACAATATAAAACACAGAATTAGGTCTCTGAGTCTTTTTTTTTTTTTTTTTTTGAGATGGAGTTTCGCTCTTGTTGCCCAGGCTAGAGTGCAATGGCGCAATCTCGGCTCACCACAACCTCCGCCTCCTGGGTTCAAGCAATTCTCCTGCCTCAGCCTCCCCAGTGGCAGGGATCACAGGCATGTGCCACCATGCTCAGCTAATTTTGTATTTTTAGTAGAGACAGAGTTTCTCCATGTTTGTCAGGTTGGTCTTGAACTCCCGAACTCAGGTGATCCGCCTGCCTCTGCCTCCCAAAGTGCTGGGATTACAGGCATGAGCCACTGCGCCCGGCAATTTCTGAGTCTTAAAAGAGGTCCCGAATATTTTTATTCTCCAACATCAAGATTTAATATTATGTTTTTATCTATAACTGTGGTTTGCTTGGAAACTTTAGGTTTGAACAGAAGTACATTTACATCAAGTCCTGTTTATAAATAATTATAAAAACAAGATAGCTGTTGGCATGTCTACTGCAGAAACTCACTAATGTATAGTCTATATTTAGCTGAATAAATCTGCACAACACATTGTACCAGAAAACAAACCATGTTTTAAACACCTGGCTAATGTCAGAGCTAATTTTCTATCATTTTACTTTATCAATCAATGATTTTCAGTTTTGGAAGTCCTAGTCAACTAATCCTCCCCAAAGCACTGGTTAATGACAATACCAAAATGCAAAAACCAAGGGATATGCTGGATAATACCAACAACAAAAACAGGATCTGAGTTGCAATTCAATTTCAAAGCCTAAATATCATAAAATGTTATCATCATATATCAAACGGACACATAGAAATACAATTCTAGTTTCCTTAACAAGGTAGTGTCCTTGTTAAAAAAAAGTGTGACTTGAGGCATAAATTCCTGACACATTAATAATAATGTGTGAAAAGAATAAAAATGTTAGATCACAGATCTTATCTGTTGAGGCCTGGTGTTTTAAAGGTATAATTATTAGTTAGTATTTCCAAGAATATGCTGAGTATGGTAGGGTCCAGGAGAGCATTTAGCATAAATGAAACAAATCTGTTTAGCCTAAGGTACTTCCTAAAAGTAGGCTACAGCATAGTATGGTGATCAGACCCAAACCCTGATTTAAAGATGTGCAAAGAGGTGGGCAGAACAAGGGAATGTTATGCAAAATGTTATTTTGGTTACTGCTCCCAATTTAGTTAAAGGGCTGTAACCATGGCAACTGGGCCCAAATAAAGTAAGGGCAATAATGGTCAGCTTTCTTCCTGTGGTGATAAAGCTATTGTCAACTTTTGTGTGGCATGAGGAGGGAAAGAAAAATCTGTTTATCTATGCCAGGAACAGCCAAGGTACTTAAATATTTCAATGGTTATTTCAGATTCAGCAAAATCTGAGAAATACATTTAAATGAAACCTCATAGTGACTTCTATATGGTAATTTGCATGTTAAAACTTACACACACACACACACACACACCCCACAATAAAAACTATGATTAAGAAAGTGGTTTTTCTAGTTAGAACATTTTCAATACTTAATAGTGACATGTAACTTTTCAAAAACAGAACGGTAGTGAGACCAGTATACACATCTTTTGGCTAGTATTTCATTAAAATGACAAAGAAATCACTGAAAGTGTTAACGACTCCCAAATCATTTTAAAGATGCCAAAACTTGTTGACCTGTAGTCACAGGTCTAGACTTGAACAAAAGAAGGTACAAAAAAGAGAAAAAAATCCAAACCACTGGAGCTAGTTTATAGAACATGTTTGGAAGTATCAGTTCAGCTCTATTAAAAACTCTTTCTTCCTAAACAAGGAGCTCCATAATTCCAAGAGTTACCATCAGATGAATGGTCCTGACTATTCCTGGATGCACAGGCTTAGCAGATGGGTCTTTGTTGTTGTTGTTGCAGTGATGGATAACTTAATTAAAATAACAGTAAAACTTGCATGACTGTCTTCTAAAGTAAGAGGTGCACTATAAAATATGATTTACAGAAAATATAAACAGGTAAAAGTTTTTCCTAAAAGCAAATGGAGTTCTTTGGCAAAAAGACTGATTATAGGTATGAGGTAAGAAATACACAAGGTAAGCTAGGGTCCTTTTCTGCCAAAAAGTAAGGATGTATTAAAGACTACCTGGGTCATATCACAAGGACAAAGGAAAAACAACAGGAGTCAACATGGAGAGGATCCAAAATGGGACAACTTTAGCATTAAAAAAAAAAAAAATGATGACTGCAATAGATTAAGATAACTGAAATATATGCAAACCCACAGGTTCATACTAACACCAAAACCAAAAACTCTTAAGCGGCTTGAGCACTCATTATTATAAAAAGCAATAAAGGGAATTACAGAGATAAAACATTTATCTTGCTTTCCTTGTATAAATGCATTTTGGGGTAACTGAATGGTTGACGATGGAAAGTTGTTCCAGCCAATAAATGGAGAAGGAATGATAGAATTTGAGCAGCATCATTTGGCAGCCGCTAATGAAATAGTGTATTAGACCACATACAGTGGTTGGTAAATTAAGCCTAGGGACCACATCCAGCCTGCTGCCTGTTTTCGTAAACGAAGTTTTATTGGAAAGCAGCCATGCTCATTAATTTGTGTACTGTGTATGAGTGCTTTTACACTACAACAGAAAGCTGAAGGGTTGGTACAGACACTATGTGATCTGCAAAGCCTAAAATATTTACTATCTGGTATTTTATAGAAAAAAGTTTGCCAATTTCTAGGTTACAGCAATGATAATGAATAGTCGCTGATAATTTATTAAGTAAAAGATCACCTGGCCAACATGGTGAAACCCTGTCTCTACTAAACAAATACAAAAATCTAGCCAGGTGTGGTGGCAGGTGCCTGTAATCCTAGCTACTCCGGAGGTTGAGGCAGGAGAATCACTTCAACCCAGGAGGCAGAGGTTGCAGTGAGCTGACATCGCCTTACTGTATCTTAAAAAAAAAAAAAAAGAAAAAAGGGGGGAACTTTACAATGGAAAGAAACACTGCTAACTTGCCTGTTAGTCTTAGCAACACTGGCTAGACGTAGTGGCTCTTGCCTGTAATCCCATCACTTTGGGAGGCCAAGGCAGGAGGGTTGCTTGAGGCCGGAAATTTGAGACCAGCCTGGGCAACACAGCAAGACCCTGGTTCTAAAAAAATTTTAGAACTTAGCCAGGTATGGTGGTGGATGCCTGTAGTCACAGCTACTTGGGATGCTAAGGTTGGAGGATGGCCTGTGCCCAAGAGTTTGAGGCTGCAGTGAGCTATGATATGCTACTGCACTGTAGCCTGGGTGACAAATCAAGGCCCTTCTCTCTCTCTAAAAAAAAACCAAAAAAACAAAAAAAACTAACACCACCACCATCAAAAGTGGATCAGACATTATATGTGAAACAACATGATTACCTAGGATCTATTCCACAGTACCATCTATGAAGTATTCTTGTTCAAAAAATAAATTAAAAAAACAAATGAAAGTAGTCTCTTAATATAAGTACAAGATTACAGGAAATAGGGGAGAGAGGAAAATTGTTAAAAGACAAGATGAGGAAGCAATCAGCCAAACTGAGAATGTGGGAATTTTTTTTAAAGGCAGATTTAGGAGGGGAATTGAAAAGAGATATTGTCTATCAAATGCAATATGTAGACCTTGTTTGGATCCTGATTCCAACAAACCACCTGTAACGATTTTTTAAGACAAATTCAGAAATATAAACATAGCCTTGGGTATCAAACTGTAGGTAAAGAGTCACTGTTAAGTTTTTCTGGGTGATAATGCAAATGTGTGTGTGTATGTGTGTTTAGTCTTACTGTTAAAGACACGTACTAAAGGACTACATAGTCGAGCTTAAGATTTGATTCAAAATATTCTAGCAGTTCAAAAAACAGAGGAAAAGAGAGATAAAAGAAGACTGGCAAAATGCTATCAACTATCAAAGCTAGTTGTGGCAAAATGCCGCTAACTATTAAAGCCAGCTGATGGATACTTGAGGGCTCAATACACCATCCTCTCTCTACTTTGTGGCACGTATGTAATTTTCCATAATGAAACTAAGAATAGAAAATAGGAGACAAATACAATGCATTTTTTGATGTACTTCAACTATTTGGAATTGGTGTTTAACTTACTCTAAATCTGGCTCTAACTTTTGCTCACTAAATGCCTGTTTAAATATCTGCTTCTGCTTGCTTGACAGGAAATGTTAGCCTCTAAAACTTTTTTTTTTTTTTTGAGACGGAGTCTCGCTCTGTCGCCCAGGCTGGAGTGCAGTGGCCAGATCTCGGCTCACTGCAAGCTCCGCCTCCCGAGTTTACGCCATTCTCCTGCCTCAGCCTCCCGAGTAGCTGGGACTACAGGCGCCCTCCACCTCGCCCGGCTAGTTTTTTGTATTTTTTAGTAGAGACAGGGTTTCACCGTGTTAGCCAGGATGGTCTCGATCTCCTGACCTCGTGATCCGCCCGTCTCGGCCTCTCAAAGTGCTGGGATTACAGGCGTGAGCCACCGCGCCCGGCCCCTCTAAAACTTTTAACCATTGCTTCATTGGCATCTAAAACCTCTTACTACATTCACCTAATATTTTGGAGGAGATTCTTTTCTCAGCTCTATTTTTCCCCCAAGAGTATTTCTTTTTGCACGACAAGAAACTACTTAATATTCTTCCTCCAAAGTTTGGCCATACCTGGCCTGCAAACCGTTATGACATATTTTTGTTCTTTACTTCTTGTCATAATTACAATATACATACATAATATAATGGTCTTACTACAGTCTGGAAGACTATATATATAAAAATCCAGCATCTAATAAATTCTGTGACTCCCTGCTCATATATATTAAAACTCTTCCTATAAATACAAATTTTATGTCCTAAAGTTACTCTTCTAAGTTGTTAAGCTTCTATGTTACTATGTGGCTTTTTATATATAATAATTGTCTAATATATTAAGCCATGCTCTTCCACTTCTGCTTATGAACATTTAAAAATAAAATACTGATTTAAAATATTGTTGAAACCAGTAATTATATCATAAATCAAAATCTCAGACCAAGGCTTATAAATAAGGAAAATCTTACTGAGGTTCTTCTTCTATAAAGAGCAGAACCTTACACTCATCTACCTTATGCCAAAACTTAGAGCATATTATTCACGTCAAGGTTAAAAAGTAAATTATAATAGAAAATGCTTTACAATTATAAGGTCACAGTTCTTTATCTGAAACTCCTTGGGCTAGATGAGTTTCATAATTCAGAATTTCTTAGATTTTATAAATACAATATAGTGTATATAACATTCATAATCAATATAATCATAATATAGTATAACGCTATATTATAGTAAATCAAATGCAACAAATGCCAATAAAATTTCTGCAGTGAAACTCAATTTTCATATTAAGTGGAATTAAAAACAGTAACCTCCCCCATTTATCTATGAGGCATATATTCCAAGACCACCTAGTGGATGCCTGAAACTGCATATAGCACTAAACCCTATATATACTATGTTTTCATCTTGTACATACATACCTATGATAAAGTTCAATTTATAAATTAGGCGCAATACTCTTGTGCTTTGGGTACATTGTGAAGTAAAGTAAGGGTTACCTGAATGTAAGCGCAGAGATACCACCACAGTTGATCTACCCCAGAGTGCTACTAAGTGACTAACGAACAGGTAGACAGACAAGGGAATGACTCACATCCTGGGTGGATGAAGTAGAATAGCCCAGGATTTCATCATGCTATTCAGAAAGGTGCATAATTTAAACTTTATGAATTACTTATTTCTGGAATTTTCTATTTAATATTTTCAGACTAGGGTTGACTGCAGGTAACTGAAACTGAAGAAAGCCAAACTACGGATAAAGGGAGACAACTGCCTGCAAATTGTCTCATGTCAGTTAAGATCAAGTTTTGCTGCCAAAGAAGTCAGGATAAAATGTTTTGGTTTTGAGAACTTTTTGAATTTTGGAATTATGGATAAGGGACTACAGACCTGAATTATATAACTCCATCCTCTTTATTTCAGTGACTGTCAAAAGTAACAAATTATGGTCAAGCTAAAATAGTTGATGTTAACACATGAATACAATTAGTTTCGTATTATTTAAAAAAAAAAAAGAACACTAATAGAAGAAAAGAATCTTGTCCAAATTCAGACTTTTGTGGTATGTAATGGTAAGGAGTCAGGGGCTCCTTTGTACATGTTCATGATCCTGGTGATGCTGCTAGCAAAACTGCCCTTTCCCTTTGCATTCAATTGACTGCCAGGCAAGGGTCAAATGTCTCTGCAAAACAAACTTTTCTAGAAACAACTGCAGGATAGTACAGTGGGTCATAATAAAAACGACAGGTAACTTGCCAATTTAGGCTTTTCCTTGCCAGAGATCTAACAGATCGAGTTTTCCATTGTTGGAATGTACCATATGATTAACCAACCAGATGAAATGGAACTTACCTAAAGATCGCAAGCCTGCTACTTCCCTTGGATTTGGCTCTTCTGAAGATTTGAAAGTCCCAGACTATCTTCCTTAGGAATGTCGTCGTTTTTAGGTATTTGGAAAACAGGGCTGCTTTTGATTCTGTACCACCCCAAATGTATGAGCCCAACTAAAGGGACCATAACAATCAAAACTTTGTAGTCTCTCCACAAGTTCTGAAGGTTCATAGTACTTCAGTATCGGTGTACCTAAGAAAAGGTTACAGTTAGAGGAAAAAACCCCACTAAAACCCATAACCTCCCTTTAATTACATTTCTAAATCACTACAACTAGCATGCTGTACTCTAACAAATGCTGACTGTTAAAGATTTTTAATTATAATACATTGCAATGTTAATAAACAAAACGAGACATGTCGTTGACCCAAAGGGAGCAGGCAGTCAGCCTTGGGGAACTTACAGAGCAATACTGACTTTTCGGTAACAATTGTAAAGGAGCAACATTACCTGCTGGAAAAGCTATATGAATCTTTGAAAACACACATGCATGGAGCGTTCTTCAAATATATTAATGTTCTCTGAGCCACAATAGAGTAAGAGCCTTTTTTTTAAGTTATAGTTTTAAAAAATTATAATTACAGGCTGAGTGTGGTGGCTCACACCTGTAATCCCAGCACTTTGGGAGGCTGAGATGGGCAGATCAACTGAGGTCAGGAGTTCAAGCCCAGCCTGGGCAACATAGTGAAACATCATTTCTACTAAAAGTACAACTATTAGTTGGATATGGTGGTGAATGCCTGTAATCCTAGCTACTTGGGAGGCTGAGTCAGAAGACTCGCTTGAACCTGGGAGGTGGAGGTTGCAGTGAGCCAAGATCGTGCCACTGCACTGGGCAACAGAAGGAGACTCCATCCCCCCCAAAAAAATTTACAATCACATTTAGTCACAATTTTAACAGAAGAATCAAATGGTAATCCACAAATATGCAGTAAGAATTTAGGTTCTGGCCGGGTGCGGTGGCTCACGCCTGTAATCCCAGCACTCTGGGAGGCCGAGGCAGGCGGACCATGAGGTCAGGAGATCGAGACCATCCTGGCTAACACTGTGAAACCCTGTCTCTACTAAAAATATAAAAAAATTAGGCGGGAGTGGTGGCGGGGGCCTGTAGTCCCAGCTACTTGGGAGAAAAAAGAATTTAGGTTCTATATTCTGACAGGATACAGTGACAGTGTTTCAACTGCAATTACAACAGCTGAGCATGGATTCCAATTGCAGTAAAAGACTTCTGGCTCGGATGCTATGAATTAGAATGAATTCAATGCCATTTCCACATTTATGTGCAAAACTACTGCATTTTAGAGTGTTTGCCCTTAATCACTAGAAACCCTACTTTAGAGGGTTATTATCAACCTAGTTTAGATAAAGAAACTGGGACTAGACAGTTGTCTAGAGTTACAAAGCTAGTTAGCTTTTAAAATAGACTTTTAAAAAAATTTTTGGAAAAGATAGAAGTAGGGCCCAGAAAGGCGCTATGTTTGATGATCTGTTGGGTTTGGGAAATTGAGTCTGGACAACCTCTAAAGACTCCTTATACTCTTCCTTATACTCTTAATAAGGACTGCTCCACCATCTATGAGACAGGCTATGAACCTGGCTCAATTGCATCTCTGAGTTTTAGTACCATGAAATCTCCTAAATTACTTTATTTTTGTCTAAATGCCATTAGAAAAAGGTCTGAAAAGAATATCTACTTACTCCCCCTTTTAAGACTAAAATACAATGGTACTGAGTTAAACAGACTGAACCGTCTCTGTGTTCTGTGTATACATATTAAAAATAATAAATAATAAAAGATGTTATAACTATGAACATGTTATTCTTAGCATTATAAATCATTTCTCCCAAAGGTCTAAATTCATATTTTATAAGAACTTTGTTGCAAAGTTACTAGAGAAAACATGACCTACTTTGTAAATGAAAGTATTTTATGGCCTTTTCCTTTTCTAACGTACTGTGGCATACTATATACTCTTTGTAACCTTTAGAGAATACGCCTTTTATTGACATGCTTATGTTCCATTTTTAGAGGAAATCAATTACAAATAACTGTATCATAATTAAATTTCATTGTGAAGTCCGAAGGCAAAAGCCTTTAGGGATTTGAGGGCACAATAAAATAACTGGGGAGGAACTAGGTGATTTAGAGTCACGAGGGAAGAATTCTAGTAAGGGCTACTTTTTATAGGAGGGACAGAGGCTGCACCAAAGTCAACTGGCCTGTGTTGACTGACATATGGCATTTTTGTTTGCAAAACACCTTAAACTAAAGGTCTAGAAGATATTGCTATTCATATCCAGTCTCAATACGTAAGGTGACTTTGGCACCTCTGTTACTCTCAACATGAGGTTATCAAGTCACATTACTTTTAACAGCCATCTCTGTTATTCCCCATTTACTTCTCCATGATCATCAACATGTCACCCTTTTCCTGAACTATAAACTCAAGAAAAAAAAACCCCTAGCTTATACAAAAAGAGATTAGGGCCAGGTGCAGTGGCTCACAAGTGTAATCCTAGCACTCTGGGAGCCTGAGGTGGGCGGATCACTTGAGCCTAGGCAGTGTGGCAAAACCCGTTTCTACAAAAAATACAAAAATTAGCCGGGCATGTTGGCGCATGCCTGTAGTTCCAGCTGTGTGGGGGGACTGAGGTAGGAGGATCACTTGGACCTTGGGAGGCTGAGGCTGCAGTGAGCTGAGATAACACCATTGCACTCCAGCATAGGTGACAAAATGAGACTGTTTCAAAAAAAACGAACAGCAAGAGACTGAATAGGATAAAAGGATGTAATAATAAAATGGAGATTTGTAACTCGAGCTAAAATTAGAAACAAATTAAATGACAATCTGTAACATCAATGTTTGGGAAAGTGTTGTAATATTCTCTCCAGTTAACAGTGTTAACTGTTAACAGTGGTTAACAGCATGTAATGACACAGTTATGAACCCTCCTTGAGAAGAGTGAAAATTATATAGGGTTAGCTCCCTATAATACTTAGTGAATCTTTGGGTCATCTCCCAGTTAAAGATAAAAGAAATGCACAATTATATGTTTACTTTGCTTAACAGTGTATTATTCTTCCCATTAGGATAACTTAAGGATCGATGAATCTTTTTCTAGATTTAGGTTTAGTTAAACCTGGAAATTAGTATCTATTTTAACTGAAAACTATTTGCTAAACACCACTGAGACTCAGTACAGTATTTCCTGGTTAGTAAATGGCATAGACTGATTTAATGATTAATTGCTTTAATGTTTACTGAACATCTACATGTCCCCATTTCCTCAAATTCTCCATATCTCATATATTGATTTGGCTAATGGGGGTGAGAGAGAGCAAGTAACTACTTTCTGACAGATAATTCTGTCGTCCTTTGAAGGGCTTGGGAAATGATTAGGATCAGTATGAAAGGGCTTTTTACTTTACAAACTATTTTTAGAGTTTTCATTTAATTCACATAAAGACAGTAAGTATCACACTGTACATACAATAGTCCATTTTCACTGAGCAAGATGGAATTCAGCATTTTAAAATGACACTGGCATATAGTGAGACCTCATCTCTATTTTAAAAGAAAAAAAAAATTAAATAAAAAGAAAAAAAAGGCCAAGCACAGTGGCTCACACCTGTTACCCCAGCACTCTAGGAAGCTGAGGCAGGGGGACTGCTTGAGCCCATGAGTTCGAGACTGCCTGGGCAATATAGTGAGACTTCATCTCTATTTTAAAAGAAAAAACATATATTTAAGAAAAGTGACATTGGCATATAACTTTCAACTATTTCATTTCTTTCACTTAATAGTGAAAAATTTCCGGTACACTGCATGTATTCTACTACCTGCATAACCTCTTGTCAGGGCAAGACACATTAGACCTTACTAGACATTACTAGCAAAGTTCATTGCTAGTTTTACAAAAAAAATAGTTTTCAAATTTTATATTTGATATGGTAGTTAGCGAGGTAATGTGTTATTTATTTTGTTTATAAACTCTTGCAGAGCTTATACTTACAATCAAACATATTTTGGGGATACAATTTTAATGTAGCACTTTTTTTCGTCTTAGTTCATCTGTGGTTTTTCTACAAAATGAAAATTAGGGCTGGGCACGGGCGGCTCATGCCTGTAATCCCAGCACTTTGGGAGGCCGAGGCAGGTGGATCACCTGAGGTCAGGAGTTCAAGATTAGCCTGGCCAACATGGTGAAATTCTGTCTCTACTAAAAATACAAACAATTAGGCTGGTGTGGTGGTGGGCGCCTGTAATCCCAGCTACTCAGGAGGCTGAGGCAGGAGAATCACTTGAACCTGGGAAGCGGAGGTTGTAGTGAGCCGAGATCACACCATTGCACTCTAGCCTGGGCAAAAAGAGCTAAACTCCTTCTCAAAAAAAAAAATAGCATACTGTCCTTTTCTAATAAATATAGTATAACCTTACTTTTTAAAGTTAGCAAATATAGAAACAAGGAAAAGAGAGCTAAAATCTTTTGGGTGTAACAAAAATGTGATCATGATACACAAGCTGTTTTGTAATATCTCTTCCAAAGAATATGACATTATCATTTTTAAGAGCTATACAGCATTTGATTGTAAAGGAGATATCCTAATTTGACCAATCTGTGATGGAAAGAAATTTGAGATTTTTCAATGCTTTATTGCAAAATATGCTATGGCAATATTTATGTAAATACTCGAGAGTCCATGCTCAAAGCTCTATGTGCTGCTTTTCAGAATTAACACATTTCTTAAAAATTAACTCATTTTTTAAAATGAACTTGACAACAAAGTTTGTAAAACCTTGAGTTTTAGAAAGGTTCATGATACTGAGAAGCAGGCAGACTGGGAGATCCAATTTGTGAAACAAACTTAGGCTGTTTACAGTTTGCCTTGAGATGGTCCTTCCCTCAAAACACTTGGCAAGTCATTCCAAGTGGCATGGAACTATCTTGTGGATACCAGAGATTCTGAGTCTAAAACAAAGATTTCTCAAGAATAAGCTCAAAATGATCAGATTTGATGAGCAGTAACTGGTTAATCCCTAAAATAAGTTAGTGTTTGATGTTCATTTATTGAACTTTTCAAGTTTGGAGCAAAGCAACAAGAGAAATGGCACATCTTTTTTCCCTTCCTTACCCTCTAAGGTAGTTGCCACTGCCCTTTCTTATCTTTCTTTCCTGAGTCTTCTTTAAAC